ATATATATATATATATATATATATATATATATATATATATATATATATATATATATATATATATATATATATATATATATATATATATATATATATATATATATATATATATATATATATATATATATATATATATATATATATATATATATATATATACATATATACATATACATATATACATATATACATATATACATACATATACATACATATATATATATATATATATATATACATATATATATATATATATATATATATATATATATATATATATACATATACATATGTGTGTGTGTGTGTGTGTGTATGTGTGTGTGTGTGTGTGTGTGTGTGCGTGTGTGTGTGTGTGGTGTTTGTGTGTGTGTGTGTGTACATGTATATGTATATATGTATGTATGTGTATGTATGGATGTAGATAAATGGAAATATACAGTGATTGAAAAAAGGTACGGATGTCAAGTGAAAGTATTAGGACACTTTCTAGTTCAAAGCTCCCAAACTTTCCGTGATGGCGCCCTAATCTCCCGCGGTCTCTCCTGCGACCTCCTTTCATTTCCCTTATCTTTACAGCCAAGTGCAGCTTCTTTTGTTGCAAGGATCACTGGAGCTCGAAACAACGTAAATGCAAGCTACATGCTCAAATGACAGACACAGTTCCAGTTATTACAAAAATCGGTCTCTGAGTGTCACACAGATACAAAAAATGTGATATAAGATAAGGGAGCATGCATGTTTTGTATTTTCCATGTGTTGCGTATGGACCTGTTCATGTGCGCTTCGGAGCGTCCCCAACTGGGCGAGACACGTCACGCGACATCCACTGCTTGACTAAAGGCTTCAGTGCGAAATACTCGTTCATTTCTTGAGGCCCTATCACATTAGCACTTTTTTATATTCTTTTATTAGCACTTTCCATATGCAAATAGTCTGCCCCTTTCACCACTACTGCCAAGGTAGCAAACATAGAACCCATACAAACAAGCACGGCGCCTTCCGAGTGAGGTACGAGCGTGATGGAGCCTTTTCGCAAAGCTATTTCGTGTGGGGAAGATCGACTTTCTTTAGCTGTTGCATGGGTTAGTTGGGATCTAATCAGGATCTTACGAATACTTCTTTTCGTAGTCAATGCGATTTTCACTGCCTGATCCAAGCAGAAAAAAGTGAACCATATTTAAGCAAAACAAAATCAATCATGGGAAAGAGACGATTTTCTTTAGGGACATCCAAGTCCTGTAATACGTTCGTTTCGCATACAAATGTTTTCTAACACAAAATAACTATAATGGTTTTACCACCTTGGTTTCAAATCGTATATTTGTCATAACAATAAAATCTAATGAAACAAGCAGATACATTTATTCTTTTTATCACAGCACATTGCAGACCTTCACCTTCTTATTCTTGCATGTAATCGCGGTTCTTTTGGAGATTTCATCTTCATTCGCCCCTTTCCTGTAACGGAGAACAGTGCTGGAAAACCCGTTTACCTTTTATTTGCGTCACGATGAAATATCAAAATTGAACGTAATATATTTTTGCAACGCAGACCGAAACCTGAGACGGTGAGATGGTATTGTCCCACTGGAGAATAGGGATAAGACGTTAAGTACAACAGAAAAAACGAAAAGGCTGCTTGCCAATGTCCCCAAGTCCTCATACTCCATAACCTCTTTGTTCCCCTTCTAAATGCTTCCTACACCCTGCATTCCCCGTTGGAAGGCCTCACGTCCAGCAATACAGTTTATCAAAACTAGAATGAAATTTGTCTTGAAGAATAAAATAATTTTCTTGCAAAACAAATGCATTCTCATAATAGATATAATACAAAAATGGCTGCTCTGGACTATATTACTCCAGGATTTACTAATATATCCTAGAAATGAATTAGTAAAGAATTAAAGTTCTGAAACATAAATTTTGTTGAATCCAAACTTATATGAATAACAGGAATCCGTAGTTATATCACAAGAGGGAAACAGGAGGGGGATGGGGGGGGGGGGTAAGGAGAAGAGGAGGAAAATAGGGAGCATTAAGGAGTTGGAAAAGAAATGAAGAGGAAAGAGAAAGTGGGGCAAAGAGGAAGAGGAGGGAGGAAGATTATAAGAAAGAGAAAGAGGAGGACGAAAAAGGTGGAGGGCGAAGGGGAGGAGGAAGAGGAGGGAAAGTAGGGCGAGTAAGTGGAAGAGGAGCAAGCGAAGGAAGAGAAGAGAGGAGAAAGAGGAGGAGGGAGAAGGGGAAGAGGAAGAGGAGGAAGATAAGAAAGAGAAAGGGAGGAGGAAGAGGAAGAGGTGGGAGGAGGAAAAGAAAGAGAAAGAGAGGAGAAAGAGGAGGACGGAAAAGGAGGAGGAATAGAAAAGGGAGCCGGAAGGTGGGGGGAGAAAGGGTGGAGGAGGAGGAGGGAGAAGAGGAGAAAGTAAAGGAGGAGAATGAGGAGGAGGAGGAGGAGGAAGAGAGCAGGGGAGGAGGAGAATGAGAAGATGGAGGAGGAGAAGAAGAAGAAGAAGGAGGAGGAGGAGGAACAGGAGGAGGAGGAGAATGAGAAGATGGGGGAGGAGGAGGAGGAGGAGGTGAAGAAGAAAAGGATGATGAAGAGGAAGAAGAAGAGGGAGGAAGAGGAGGCGGAGGAGGAGGAAAACTAGGGCGAGGAAGTGGAAGAGGAGGAGGTGAGGGGAGACGGGGAGGAAAAAGAGGAAAACTGGATAAAATGTTGCAGACGGAATACTTTGTTGTTGTTTTCACTCAACAAATCTTCAGATTAAAATGTTTCTTCGAGAAATGTGATTTAGATGCTCAGTTCAGAGACTGAACTCTATAAATGTATCAATTTTCATTACTGTTTTCAGAAGCCCAAAAATGAGATCTTGAGCCGATTTAAGTGAATTAAAATCGGGTCGCAGATGCACCATTAACACGTGTTTTCCTCTTATCGGGTTTTGAGATTTGTCATGACCGGCGATTTGTTTTGCAGTGTTTTAAAAGCAGACAACTAAATCTTTATATTCCAGCACCAGCGCAGGCGTGTTGGCAGCTGTGTGGACAGAATAACCTTAACAGACGTGGACATCGGTAACGTGTTTGGAAACGTTTACTTTCACTGTACGTGTGATGCTCAAAGGTACATGACTGCAATTAATGGACATAATCTATGTTCTCTTGTCAGTTCTCCGTGTTCTTGCTGTCGAGATTGATGCTATAGTTACTGCGAATGCGGTTAGGTGGAGTTTTAGGTGCATAGCCTTTAATACTATCATACAACCGATGTTTTGTGTGCAATGCTAAAGAGGCTTTGCGCCAACATGTATCCGAGGCAGTCTAGCATGTTTGTCTGACGCGCATGTCGGTCCACCTTGGCTGCAAGGCCTGCCTGCCTCTCTCACGTCGGCGCGGGGAGAGTGCCTCTGCTTCCCTGGCTATGATTTGCCAAGTCATTTTGGCAACGATTCTTGCCGTTCGTGTTACGGACACAAATAAAAACAGGAAAAAGTTCGGAAGAAGCTACAGGATGGATGCTTCGAAGGCTCAGATATTCCCATGCTAATGTATCATAACGAAGGGTAAAGCCAAGTGAATGGATAATTGTGCACGCAACCGCAGGTCTTCCTGTAGTGTGGAGGGATGTTATCGATTCGCCAGGAGGGGAGCGCGCCTTGAAAAAGGGTCGGAGAACTTTCCTAGGGGAGGCCAAGGACATGCCCGATGCCCGGCGGTGAGACGTTTCATACCGAGGGCGCGTGTCGACGGGCCTTGGGTCATAGGAACCATGGCGCTGCTTACTTGGATTTAACATCTCATGCTTGCAAGCAAAATATTTCATGGACATCGTTTCTAGTGACTGGATAAGATATTATACAAATAAACATTCGTTTTGCACCATCTATATGTGCATTATGATCTGTATATAGTTGTCGGTTTATATATACATATTTCTTATGGTCTTTTTATAGACGTTTATATGTGTCTCCTATTAGTCCCTCTCTCTCTCCCTCCTTTCTCTCTATAATTCACATTCTTTCTTCTCTCTCTGCCTCTCTTTCATCCTTTCCCTTTTCTTTTACGCTCTAGTAATCGCATAAATACTCGCACATGCACGCGCCTGCAAAGCGGGACCACTTCCCGCACTTCCCTCGGCGGCCCACAAGCCATCGCAAGTAAGAGGCCGAGAATGCAGGCCGCGCCCGATCCCGCCCGACGAGTTCTTCTTGAGCCCCTTTCGTCCAACTTATCTCGCTGCGATGACGACTCTCGCGTAGGGTCCTTGGACGGAGCTGAAACGGCATATTAACGCCGCCATAAAATCCGCCGAACAGAGCGGTTTTCTCGCCGCCCGCGGCCGCGTCGCGCAGGGAAGAAGTCCCTTTCGCGCTAACGACCGACTCGGTGGCCGGAATTGTTATCATTATCAGTACCCACATACGCATGTATATATATATATATATATATATATATATATATATATATATATATATATATATATATTTATGTATATTTTCTATCGACTGATTACATCAGTGGTCCCCAGCCTTTTTTACGCCCGCCCCCCCCCCCCCGCGCCCCTTTAAATGTACAGCTTATTTAAGGATAAAGGTGAATTTATACTAAATTTGATCAACAAAAGAAAATATTCTTTTTCATTTTCTGATAATATGCTAACAACAATCAGACATATGGACAAGAAAACAAGTCCCAGATTATTTGAATAAACCTTACAAAAATAATCACTTGCTAGATATATCTACATGTAAAAATCTGAGAACGAACTTTAAAATGTTTATGTAAATAAATTGGCAGCTTTCTTCTTGATTCTTGATTATGAGTAATAGATATACTGCGGAACAGACAGGGAGGCAGTATAGTCTGTCACATTAAAAACCGGAATTTTTAACATCTCCGTTTGATTTTTCTTTTTTATCATTTCTGAACACTACTATGATTTTACATTTGTACAACGCGTTTTCTAAGCGAAGCGCTTTGCGTGTTTTCCCATTTTCTTTGAATTCATAAGAGTAAGAAGTGATTTTTTTATATCATATTTTACAAAAATAAAGCTAGTTCTGTTAGCGGTTCATGGAAGATGATGGAGGTAATAGGAGGAAAAGTACAGAAAGTGGATGGAAACATAACATGAACTTGTGATAAATATGACATTTCTTTGGGAGGGATGCTCGAAAGTGTGAAAAGGTAATTAGATGGCATTGATATCGATATCATTTGCAATATCAATCATGAAAGAATATTGTGGTTTTGGATAAACAGGAGACAGCATACAAAAGAAGAGTTGAACAAGAGAGAGAACGCCGTTTGTTCACTAAACGTTCTCTCAGTAGTAGCCCTTCTTGGGGCAGACGGTGACGTAGTTCTGCCTCGTTTCGACCACGGTCTTGTACTGGGGCACGTACTGGGTGCGATACTGGGTCTGGGTCTGGTACTGGGTCTGGGTGACGTACTGGGGCTGGTACTGGATCTGGGTTTCGTACTGGACCTGGGTCTTGGTGCGGTACTGGGTTTGGTACAGCGTTTCGGTGATATACTGGGGTTGATACTGGGTTTGCGTGACGTACTGGGTCTGGTATCTTGTTTGGTAGCGGGTCTGGTAGGCGGTTTGAGTGATATACTGGGGCTGGTACTGGGTGGTGGTGATGTACTGGGGAATGTAGTGGGTCTGGACCTGTGTCTGGTACTTAGTTTGGTACTGGGTCTGGTACAGAGTGGTTGGCACGATCTGGGGCTGGTACACTGTCTCGTATACGGGTACCTGGAAGGAAGTAAGGTGCACAAATTATTTTCTTAGAGAAATATCGCTGAAAGTCAGCCATTAAAAAGTAGCATTTTCTATCGGGATGCATTTCCGTTTTCTTGGGCCGATTTCTGAAGGGGGACTAAACTAATTTGAATCAACTTTCTGAACCAGTCAGATTGGAGCAAATCAACTTCAGTCCTCGTAGTAATTTGGCATTCAATGTGCATAACGCAGGGCAATTTATGGTTTCGCTCAATCAGCGCTTTTCTGATGTGACATGTCCTTCTGGTGGCGCAGCGGCGCTTGACTGATCTTCCGCCTCCCCGGCGCCTGTCGAGGTATGCCTGCGCCTCAACGGTCTTATGGGACCTGCAGGAAAGGTTTCTTTTTTTCTTAAGGTGGGGGCATGAAATCGAGTTATATGCGTTTCAAATGAGATCCAAAACAAACAAAATGACGTCAGAATCAGCGGCGGCGGCTGGAGCGGCAGCCTTCGGAAGGTTAGCAGTGTTGCCAACGATCTACTACATTTAGAAGAAGCAGTGGACTTATTGATAGGAATATTACTTTTATTTCACAAGATATGGTTAGGATAGGTAAGGTTGACATAGTTTAGGTAAACTGCTAATCTCTTCTTGGCCATCGCTCCAATCGCCGCTGCCGCTCCACAGTGTAATGTGTGCCTATTCATTGTCTTTCTGGTGCGATTTTATCGACCTCGTTTGAAACGCTTGTTACTCGCTCTCATGCTCGCGCATCCTAAAACCCCGATTTCCCTTAGGTCCCCAAATTGCTGAGGAGGAAATGGCTGCCATAGCTTGGAAGGAGGCGTAGCCCGGAAACCAGACCTCTAACGTTGGGAAAGAGGTGCACGTCGATCAACGCCCTATAAGCCTTACCAGGAAGACAGAGCACACCTGATAGGCGATGGCTGAGTGAAACCACAGAGCAACAAAAACAACAAATAACAAATAAAATAATTATGAATGATAAACAAAACAACAAAATGAATGATAAACAAAACTACAGAATGATAAAAGTAAAGTGAAAAACACTAACCTGCTGGACCTGCGTTTGATAGCGTGTCACATACTTGATCTCGGGATAACAGGCCTTTGGAGGGGGGCCGTAAGAGGGGGGAGGGGGGCGTAGGAGGAGGGGGGTGGGGGGCCCGTAGGCGGGGGAGGGCTTATCGGCCAAGGCGGACACGGCGCACAGCAGCAGCAGCACCACGCGCGAGTCATCTGGGGAGAGGAGGAGACGGTGAGAAGGGTAAGAGAGCAGAGAGGGAGGGAGAAGAGCAGAGGGAGAGGAGGGAGAGAGAGAGAGAGACAGCGAAACACGGGATAGAATAAGTAGATGCGAAGAGGGAGTAGTGTATGCGTAGTGAGTATCGTGAGTAGAGTAGTGTTGATGATGTGGTATGCGGTAGTTAGGTAGTGTACGGATTGAGTGAGATAGGATGATGTGTAGAGGAGCAGATGAGTAGGAGTAGTAAGAGAGAGAATAGATGAGTCAATGTCAAATATTTGCCAGATCATTTATGGAAACATGGTAGGATAATGAAAACAAACATATCTTAACTTTGCAATAATTAAAGAGTTTAACTTTGGAAACGTGGTTTGTTAAAGCTACTCCTTTGATCTCTTCCATTACACAATGACAAAAAGTCACCATCTTAAAGGAAAAATTATTTAAAAGAAATGAGCGAACGACAATAATGCAATCGTCGGAGGAGATCTACGGCTACGAGTGAGAGCGTGAGTCTTTATGACGACAGGCACGAAGCACACATGGTACATAGGAATGCAGACAGCTAGGAATAGAACATAGAGTCAACAGACCAGACAGAGTAGAGAAGAGAAGTCACTTAACAAAGCCGGATCTAATAAACAACATATGATCTAGAGCAAAAACCTTGCAATAAGAAGAAAGTAATCAATGAGAAGACCTAGGGTCAATAAAGAAGAAGACAACATTAGATCGTAGAGCCACTTATGTCTAGTAATACAAGACAAGAAAGTGTCTATGATGAAAGCACCATCGGGGAAAGCATACCAGATGAGCACGAAGCAGGATGAGGAGATTTCACGTCTGCAATATAACACATCGTAGAGGCCTTGAATAACCTTTATGTAATGGGAGAACTATGTGAATTTAAGTTGTATAAAAGTGAAGAAGTTCTATGAAACAAATACATAGAAAGCTGACCCATGATTTATTTTGAAATGGTATTCTATTCTTATACATCCTATATCACTGATTGTAGACTTGGATATGACACAAAAGTAGAAACTTAGTAACAAAGCGAATAAGTAAATGAAGCTACTTAACAATGTAAAAACACACATAATAGATCATGCCCACAAGAATTAAAATAAATCCCGGCAACTATATCATTGGTACAACATCGCTAGTTAGAACTTAGCTTGAATATTATTCTATACTATTAAGTCTACAATAGTGGCGTAAATCTGATACGGAGTACTATGTATAGCTTATAAAAAAGGTCAACAAAAAAGCGGAATATAAGAAGATTACTAAGCAGCTGGAAGCAAATAACGAGTCTGAGAGAATAAAAAGCAGTCTCAGGATTCAAACCGCGACACTCGGATAAACGGCTAAACCGTGAGATCCGAGTGATAGAAACTTCCTTAGAATAGATTATCATATATAGCTAATATCTGAGTCTGCTTTATGGTTATGGAGATGGTAATGTGAGAAAGCGAGAGTTAGCACGCTATAGAGGAGCAGAAGTAAGTATAAGAATGAGAAAGGAGACAAGAAGAAAGCCGCGAAGCGGGAGACGAAGAATTTATCATAAGAGAGATATCGGCACGCACGGGAGAGAGGAGAAGAGGAAAGAGATGAGAAGAGGAGAGAGAGGGAAGGAGAGAGGAGAGGAGAGAGAGAGAGGAGGAGAGAGAGAGAAGAGGGGAGGAGGAGAGGGAGAGGAGAGAGGAGAGAGAAGGCGAGAGAGAGAGAGGAGGAGAGAGAGAAGAAAAGAGACAGAGAGAGGAGAGGAAGGAGAAGGAAGGAGACGAGAATAGGAGACGATGACGAGCAGGGAAGAGAGGGAGAGAAGGAGAGGAAGGGACAGGGAGAGGAAGACGAGGGAGGGAGGAAAAGAGAGGGAGACGAGGAAGAGAGGGTAGAGAGAGAGAGAGGGAAAGAGGGAGATAGGAGAAGAGGCAGGAGGGGAAGGGAAAAAGAGAGAGAGACGACATAATAAGAGGAAGGCAGGATAAAAGAGACGGAAACGAGTGTATAAAAAAGAGATCAAAGAGAGGCGATGAATGATGGGAGGCCGGATGAATGGGCAGGGGAGGCGAAGAGAGGGATTAGAGGAAAAGAGGGAATAAGGGGAGGAGTTAGGGGCACGAGGGAAAGAAATGTAACAAAGACAGACAGGGAGAGAGGGAATGGGGGAGAGATGAAGATGTGAGGGAGTGTGACGCTAAAGGGAGAGAAGCGGTTCAACGTAGAGAATGAAGATCCGGATAACGGATTACACTTGAGCATGAACGAGGTTGATTTTGAGTCGGAGGGGTGTGACTTGTGTTTAGTCGCTGGGGTGGTCGTGCATTTCCTTTTGTTTCTGTTTTGAGTATGGACGCACATAGTAAAAAGGACGGTGATGAATAAGAGAGGAGATCGAAATAGTGTATATTATGAACTAGATACTGTAGGGAGATCGTGGATTTAATGAAGATTTTTGTTATGTGAACTAATCTGTAAATATCAGCTGATTTTGCGACGATTATAATGGTTCTTGAATCAGTACACTGAGTATATGGCAACGAAACAATGGATTGGTTATTTGTTGGCAGGTACTGCAGAGGACTGGACAATGAGTATGAGTTGCTAAGGATGCCACTAAAATTTGAGACCATCGAATTTTTTGTATGAGTCTAGCTATAAAATAATAAGTGAAGTTCGAATAATAGATGAGTTCATTTAATGCTGAAGAAAAACATCTAAGATATAGATACATTACAAGTGCTAAATTATTTTACATATGGACGGGGCGGACAGATAGACTGACCTGATACCGTGTCACAATGGCCATATAGAAAACAAGTTGAATAGCGTCACAGAAGAGATAGTGACAATCCAAATAAAGGAGTAAAACGTGGGCAATAGATCACAGAAGAACAGAGCGATGGTCCTGAAGACCAACTGTTAGAATTGATACTTCTCCCAATAGGTTACCGCAGAGAAACATCTCATCCAAAGGAACATGAAGATCAATGGCTCTTTTAACTGTCCGGAGGAGAAGATTACAGTACTGCGTAAATTCCAGTGATCGCATTCAACTAAGAGTGAAAAAACTTAAAAAAACAAAAAGAAAACAAAAGATCAAAAAAAAAAGAAAAAAACTAAAAAAGATCGGAAAATACGACATCAGAGAATAGACGATCAAAGTCTCTGACTAGCATCACAGAAGGTCTAATAAGGAAACAAATGTCATGAACACACTATGACAAAAGCTGACACGCTCAAGTCTATGACTACACGAACCCGCTTATCTTTTACTCAACTAGCATGGTCATGTTACAGCATCAGTATTTGAAAGAAAGATCACTACACACGCAAATACTTTCTACAACATAGCAGAAGGGTATGAAACGCTGTCAGTGGAGATCAATGCAACCCACCAGCCGAACTACACACCAACATATGCAATCACGGCACACAAGTCTGACAGCTGCAGGTCATGAACTACACGAAACTAACTAGAAGGTCTGACAGGCCTCAGAGACAATGAACTACAACTACACTAGCAAGGTCTGACAGCTCAGAGTCATGACTACACGACATAACCACCGTAGACAAGGCACAGGTCAGACCAGCCTACAGGCTATCATCATGAACGTACCAGCACTTATTCGTATAACTTACACGAATTCCACATTATTAAGCAAGGTCTGACAGCTCAAGAGATACATGGGAAACTAATCCAGAATTCACAACTTAACAAACGCGTCGTCGAACACAGGGACCAAAGTAGTAGATGCGCAGAAACTGAGCAACTGTTACCTAACACAGCGAGTATGCATCTAGACTCAGCTCAGTTAGCATTAGTAATTACCACACTGAGATATCTACACTTAGCACAAGAGGGATGGAACTGCCATCGACAGCTTTGCGAAAGAGAAATAAAAGATGTGTATATATAATAAGTACATTATACCATTAGAGCATACATACAATGTATACATACCATAGGAGGTTTCGTCCACTTACACAGGAGGGGATCGAGTGCTCGGACGGAACAAGGTAACGGGGCATGACGGCCCCTGAGACGGAGGTGGAGGAGGTGCGGTGTCGGGACTGTTGTCAATCACCACATCGAGCTATCTCATCACGCGATAACTATTCACAGCGCACCTGGAGTGGTCAACTACTAGAGGGGCTGGCACCATTCCAGCACACACAAGCTCACACACATGCATCACCATCACGACACCTCACCCAGCACTGGGAATGAAAACCCGGCAGCACACCCACTAGCAGGCTTGCGCGTCGCCGCGCGCACACACACCACACTATCACCATGATAAATAGTATCATGTGGGCAGGTTATTACACACACACACACATCCACACACACGACTAACGTGAAGCTAGCCTACGGGAGCCATCGGGAGAGCCACACACGCACGCACCACATTGGTCGTTGAAGGGACGCCTTCCCTCGTCTTACCACCTGCCCACAGCCACATCAGCCACCATCATCCTGAGGTCTTCCTAGTAGCTACATGGTGGAGTGGTGGGGACTGGAGCACAGCACGACACTGGCACGACATGACAGAGACGACACTAGATACATAACACGCAACTGTGAGTCACGAATGTCAGTAGCAACGGTTTCTGTAACAGCTTTAGCAAGTCACACATGACTCATGTACATACTCTAAATACAAAGTATCATACATATCAAATACGATAACTTATACATATATTATATATGTAGTATAATAGGTATATACGGGGTGATATTGAGGATATGAGCTACGATCTGCTAGTGACGGTTCCTCTAGGACTGAGTCAACTGCTGCGTAGGATTAAATCTGGTGACTATCTCACCATTATCACAACACGCCAGGCGGCAATACCACCGACCTATCGGCAGGAGCAGTCTCTCCTGAAGTTGGGTCAGTCGCTGCATGTCTGGCCTCGCTCGTCCGGCTACTCCTCCATCCTGCGCAGCAGTTCTCCTGTTCTGGGCGACAAGCGTCCGTCATCCTCTGCAAGCATCTAATCCATCATCGTACTTCGCTCTCCCACTGCACGAACGTGGCGTCTGCACTTGGGTATCGGAACCCTGCACCATATTCCAGGGAGCCACAGGTGGCAGGTGAAGAGGTACGCGAGCTTGGCACTGCTCGGCAAGAGCCTAATTGAGCATCGTAAAGGATCACCCCACGTCCAGTGAGCATTAGTACATTATACACTCCGGATAGACAAAGGGAGTATCGAAGTCAGCTACAACAACATCACAACGGAGCAGTAACAGCTCAAAACACTACAATAGATACAGACAAGTAGCCAAGAGATAGTGCATTCGGATCTAACAACAATAACAAAAAAATAATGAAAACAATGATTACACGTTATGGTTCAAATCATAGGCCAAACAACTGGCAGCATTAAAACTATAAATAAACTGCGAAAACTGGGTAAAATACACCTAATCGAAACAAAGGGAAAAAGTAATCATAGCGTAGGGATAAATAGCAAGATTAATAACTATAGCAAAAATATAAAGTATTCACCCTTAATAACCTATCCAGTATATACATACATATATAATAAGTATTATAATAGCATAGAGCACATTAAAAATATTAATATAATAACTATAACTATATATTATATATATACACACACACACACACACACCACGAGCATATATATATATATATATAATATATATAATATATATATATATATATATATAATATATATATATATTATTGTGCGTGTACTTTACCTGTGTCACACATTCGAACGCACAGAATAAAGATGAACACGCGGAAAAGATCAACAGAGGAGAGTGATAAATGATGGAAGAGCCAGAACCCATAAGGGCGTGGCCATGACCTCTTTTCTCTCTTTTCGACTTTCTATTCCCTTTCTTTTTCTCGCTTATTCTCCCTTCGTTTCTTGGTTTTGCCTTATTTATCTTTTATTTTTCCCTTTCCCTTTACTTTGCGGTTAGTTGCGGTGAAGGAGATGAATGAGGA